TCAGGTAAAGATCCTGCTCCTTGCCGTTATAATATATCTTATAAAAAATCATTGTCAACAAAAAGTTATATTGTCAACTGTCATTTCCTAACGATAAAACAGTCTGACTCTCCAATAGAATGTACATTTAACTATTATAAATAAAAAAAACTCTTAACACAATATGGAAGAGAAATGTAAATATATTGAAACTCGATTGCAGAAAACGATGCAGTTTATCAAACAAAACATAAAGCTGCTGGGAATGGCATCGTGATAGATTAAAAATAAGAGCATAGAAACTCATTCGTAGTGGAACATCCTATTGTTTTAGTCTTACGCATGGACTGATTGCTTTCCATTCATTCTCAATGTCACTACAAATAGAAAACAGAAGGAGTAGTGTTGTGAAAATAAATACAATAAAATTGGCGCTAATTGGAAAAGATTATGGAAAAGATTATTAGTTTTTTATTTTCATTGTTTTAAATAATTTTTCTGTATTGTGTTTTGGTTTTCGATTTTTCTTTTGTTATTGTTTTGCTTTCATGTTTGTTTTGATGTTAGCTGGCGGGTGGTGCAGAGTTGCACCTTACAATTATTTTTGCAAGCAGTTCTGGTATTGTAGATACCATTAAATATCTTTATATTTTATTTATCATATTTATATTTTATCTTTATTTTTATATTTTTATACTCCTTTAATATGTTGTCGGATGATGATTCTTTTATATCGGCCAACGATTCCTCTAACAATGACAGCTTCTGCTCCTTGGGTGACAGTCTGACTGACTTTGTCAACTCTCATTTTACTAACCCTAACAAACAGCTGTTGAATGTATGTCATTTAAACGCACAAAGTATCCCCAGCCATTACAATGAACTCTTTGACGTATTTAGCAACATCAACGTTCATGCGGTCCTGATATCGGAAACTTGGCTCAAACCACAATTACTTTCTACTACCTACCCCCTCCCTGGGTACGTTCTTTTGCGGAACGACCGAACTACCAGGCGAGGGGGTGGCGTAGGTATATACCTCCGCAGTGAACTCTCTTATAAGGTACTATTTACATCTTCTCCCAACTGTCCTGCGGAGTATCTTTTTCTCGAAGTTTGTAGCCAAGGGGGGAAAACTGTATTGGGGGTTGTTTACTGTCCTCCCAGTGTTGATTATTTCACTGAATTCGAATCAGTTTTGGAATCTTTGGGTTCTGAGTACATGCATCACATAATTATGGGTGACTTTAACACCAATCTCCTTTCCCATGATTCCCCTCGATCCCGTAAACTCCTTCACATAGTCGAGTCGTCTAACCTACATGTGCTACCACTTAATCCTACTCACCACAACACTGCAGGCGATGACTCTTGGCTTGACCTCATCCTCACCTCCAATCTCTCCCTTGTATCCTGCCATGGTCAGCGTGATGCCCCGGGTTTTTTCTCACCACGACATGGTTTTCCTCTCCTACATCTTAAAGCCACCCAAGGTGAAGCCTAGGGTCTTGTATAGGCGTTGTTTTGCGCGAATGGACGGAGCAAGATTACAGGAAGATGCTTCATCGATCGATTGGGGTTCCCTGAATGAAGCCACTTCAGTCGACGACAAGGTCGAGATTTTTAACGCTAATGTAACTAGCCTCTATGACCGACATGCTCCCATTAGGCGGATAAGGGTAAAACGGCTGCCTGCGCCTTGGATGACTCGGGGAGTTAAAATGGCTATGCGACGTAAGGACCGAGCTTTCCGAAAACACAGGAGGGATCGCACCGATGAAAGCTGGGCAGCTTTTAAGCTAGCAAGAAATCGCTGTAACCAGATGGTGCGTAACGCTAAACGCCGCCATGTTCTCGAAAACATCTCTTCTGCTTCTTCAGCCGATATCTGGAAATTTCTTGGGACTCTAGGTATCGGCAAGACGCATTATTTAGAATTACCCAGCTCTATATGCCTAGACGATCTTAATCACCATTTCTCCACAGTGCCTACCGTAGATCGTCTAGTCAAACACGACACCCTGAGGTTTATCTCTGGTCTCGCGCGTCCCAACGTTACTACTCCTTTCCGCTTCGTTCCGGTGGATTCGACGGAGATTCGTAGGATTATCCTTTCATTAAAGTCCAAAGCGGTAGGATGTGATAACATTTCTCGTTATATGATTGTGACTGTTCTGGATCACCTCCTGCCGGCTATAACCCATATTTGCAACTTTTCCCTGTATTCCGGATCTTTCCCATCCCTTTGGCGTAAAGCCTTTGTCCGTCCACTTCCGAAAGTCTCCTCTCCCACTCTTCCTAGTCAATTCCGTCCGATATCCATACTTCCTTTCCTGTCCAAGGTGCTTGAGGCCTGTGTCCACAAACAACTTTCTACTTTCATTTACAGGAATTCACTAGTCAGTCCATTCCAATCGGGCTTCAGACCGGGCCACAGCACTGTTTCCGCCCTCCTTAAAGTGACTGGCGATATTAGAGCTGGCCTTGAGGACACTAAAGCCACAGTCCTGGTTTTGGTAGACTTCTCGAATGCCTTCAATATGGTCAGTCACGATATCCTATTAGCCATCCTATCCCATCTTACGATCTCTGGCGAGTCACTGGAATGGTTCTCCTCTTATCTTCAGGAGCGCCAGCAGTCGGTCAAGCATGGTGATATGTCATCAGGTTGGCGCGAATTAAAAGCTGGCGTTCCTCAAGGCGGCATACTATCACCTCTCTTGTTCTCCATTTTTATCAATCTCATCACTTCTGACCTTCGCTGTGCGTACCATCTGTATGCAGACGACTTGCAGCTATACTGTCAGGCTGGCTTAGACAGCTTGCCCAATGCCATCTCAAAACTAAACGATGATTTAACTACCATCAAGAACTGGTCTGTACGGTTTGGCATTGCGGTAAACCCGAACAAGTGCCAAGCTATTGTCATCGGTAGCTCTCGATCTCTATCTAGGGTTGACAGTGCATCTCTGCCAGCTGTCCTTTTCGACGGTGCGATCGTTCCTTTCAGCAGTGACGTTAAAGACCTAGGCTTACACATTGACAAGAATTTAAACTGGAATACACAAGTCACTAGCGTGTGCAAAAAAGTGACCGGTTCGCTGCGGGCCCTTTATCGCGTGAAAAACTTGCTTCCGTCCGTCACCAAGTCGATGCTTGTGCAGGCCTTGTTGTTCCCTATAATAGATTATGCTGATGTTTGTTACTATGACCTGATTGCAGATCTCCTCAATAAACTTGACCGACTTCTGAATAACTGCATTCGTTTCGTTTTCAACCTGCGCAAATATGATCATGTTTCTGCACATCGGTTGCAATTAAAGTGGTTGCCCATTCGCCAGCGCAGGGAGCAAAGGGCGCTTACCACTCTATTTTCCTTTCTCAACTCACCTTGCCTACCTACCTATCTGTCCCCTTATTTCCAATACACCTGCGCAAACCATAGTAAATATCTTCGCTCATCTAATAATCGTCTCCTCAACTGTCCAACTCATCACTCAAAATTTCTTCACTCCTCCTTTTATGTTCAGGCTATTCTTCTGTGGAATGCGCTACCCCCCGATGTCAGGACTGTGACTGGTCGGCTGACATTCAAGCAGAGAGTTCGGGAGCTTCTTCTGAGGAGGGTTAGGGAGTCATCGTGATCACGACTACATTTATGTATATATATGTATATATGTATTTATATGTGTAAGTATATTAAGTAGTATGTGTTTTATAATATATATAAGTATAGTTCTATGTACTTTATGTATGTTTATATAAACCTATGTTATACTATTCTATTTCGCTTGCTTCTTGCATCTACTACTGGACTATCTGCATCACCCAAAGGTCGACTGGTAGAGAATGCTCAATGCATTAAGTCCGCCTTATGTACAAATAAATTGTGCATGAAGTGAATAAATAAATAAATAAATAAATTATTTTTTACAGGGAAATATTTTTTCACTCTTATTATCTCTTACTATCTTTTTTTTTTTTTTTTGAGGGGTACTCTTGCCTTATTCAACCCTGGGTGGTACAAAAGGAGTATCAAACTCTTACCCGCTTATTACAAAACAAGATTTATATTTAGTTTAGGTGTAAACTATTGAGTCATGTTTCGTATTTTGAATCTTATTGTCACGTATCTTCAATTTAAAATACAAAATCTGGCTCAATGGTTTAGACCTAAATTAAAGAAAAACTATGTTTTGTAATAAGGCCGATATTGGCCTAAAATCCAACCCCTCCCTTCTCTTGTTCCGTGCAGGTGCCACGATGCATTATTGCACCCACAACCATAATCAGGACGCCGGGGTTGCGGGGTAAGCGCAATGAGGCACTGCGACCTCGGCCCAGAGCAGGAGAAGGAACAGGGGGGTTTTTAGTAAGTAAGAGTCTGACACTTCCTCCTGCCCGGCCCTGGGCGGGAGAAGTCATTTGATGATTTTCCCCTCACCAAAAAAAATCATAATCAGAACACATCATTAACACATGTATAATAAAAAATACCTCTCAATCTTCATATACTCTTTTTTATAATTGCTTCCTCACACAAACATGCTAGTCATGTATAAAACAAAAATGGAACACGTTCGAATGATTTTAACCCTTTAGATCAAAAAGCAAAGCATCTCCACTGAACCGAACCTTAGATACCATTAGCCAATACCTTTGACTCACCCATTTGAACGTTTCCATACACCGTTTGACTACTCGAACATGCAATTTAAATCACTGATCTCGAAGCAAAGGTAATCAGAAACGTGCACTCGAATTTCGCCTTGTTGCTCCCAAGTGAAGCTTTATTTTGGGAATTATTTTCGGTTGGAGCAAAACATGACCATTTTTTGTTGTTTTTTGTAGACAACTTACAAAAATCACCAACATTCTTAGATCCGGAACATGTTTCCATTTAGGAACTAACCACTACAACAAATATCAAATACAGGTATATCTTAAAGTCCTTGTTATTTAAAGTCAACGACTAATCATTTATTTACTTTTATCTTACTTAGAGCCAAGCTTCGGCACGAATGGGTCGGCTCGACCGGAGTGATACCACGGCCACACATAATACCGAAGTGAAACAACCACAGCGTTGTGTTTCGCTGTGTGAGTGAGTTTATCCCCTCCCCCGATCCCTCCCAATCCCTAAATCTCCAAAACCCTAATCCCTAAAAGGTAGGCAACGCACTCGTTACTCCTCCGTTGCGGGTGTCCATAGGCGACGCTGATTACTTACCATCAGGTAATCCGTCTGCCGTTTGCCGACCTATTCCATAAAAAAACATTTTAGAAAGGGTCTCATTTTCTTGTTTTTTTGCACTTATCTGTCTTTAATTTAACCCCAAAAAATAATAGTTAAGAATATAAGCTAAGGACTAATTATTTTTTTTTCTACGTAGGTTTCAGCTGAGTTCTTATCTTTGTACCTGAATGTCTTTAAAAGCCGAGGCTTACAAAACATTTTTAATTAAACCTTGTCTGTTTTAGACACGAGTTTTAGCATACTTCCTAGATCTACAAACGCTTTTGGGAATGTAATTTATAATATTATTATAACGTTTTTTAGTACCTACTTAAAATACACTACTTGAATCATAACATGACGTTTATTCGCGAAGCTATAAACAGAAATACTCGTTATTAGCAATGTCAGAATCCTCTCTCGCCAGTAATAAGCCAAATGAGTTGATATAAAGAGGCACAATTTGAAATTCTTACTTTATCTAAAATATTCAAGATCTCGCTGCTGATCACTTCACTGAGGACACGGTGGTGCTTATTCAGCACACCGCCACCGAATGCTCCGTAGGTATCCTCCGGGTGGTCTTTACAATGACGACATCCAGGCGTTGTCATCCTGCTTCGCTGAATTCTTAAGAGCTAATTTGAGATGGTCTTTGCTTGCTCAATAAGTCGGACACCAGTTTGTTTTAGGGCGCTACTCTTAGAAATTAGTAGTTCTATAGTAAAAACAACTTTTTATTTTGAGTAGTCTATACATACATAATTATATATCAAGGAAGGTTTCAAAACATCAGTTTACAATCATAGTAGTAGTAAGGCCACCTCTTCCCGATCTTCAATCCTTAAATAAATAACAACCCTCAAAAAGACGACACAGTAAATAAAAAAAACCAATTAATAATTTTACCAAACATCAAATCAGTCTCAGCGGATCTTCTACTTCAACTTGTGTGTGTGTGATTTGTCGTTCTGAAACCAAATGTAAATTTCAAAGCGACCACTGCAAAGACCGCATTCAATTTACTTCAGTAATGAAACCAGTGAAACGTCGGACATTGGAATTACGTTAGGTAATCGCCCAACGTTAACACAGCCGTCCGATATTAGGAACTAATATGGAATGTTTGGCGATTGATATTCAGCCAGTAATGTGCTTATGTGATGCGGAAATCAGCTTAGTTAAAGACTGTAGACGGCGTGTTTTTGTTCATCTGTGTATGGAACAGGTTTCAGATGGATACGGGTTTAGTGATAAAGGAATTTTGTCTTTTTGTGTATGGCGATAAAGTTTATGATCATTAATTAAAAATAATGTTAACTACAAAACTAATAAGTGCTAAACAAAAGTCATTTTAGTTTTACTTTTAAGGTGATAATGCTTAGATGGAGATCCACTTAACGTGGGCATGCTCAATCATAATCAATATGGTTTCTCTATTGTTTATTACTTAGATTTTTAATCTTTTTTTTGCTTACTTTTATTGGTTGCGCCATTGCGCCTGTCGTCTGAGTATGTGATGTGATGAATGCAATTTGCTTTTGGATATAAGTGGTGCTACTGAAGGTTCAATTTCCTTTTCAGACTAAGTAGTATTATTAAATGATATTTCTCTTTTTGAATAATATCTCTCTTTTTGTTTTACGACTTGGTACTGGTTATATCTAGCATTAAACGCATCCTATATAACATTTGATGTAGAAATAAAAAACAAATATGTTTCATTTTTAAGACTGTTATGGAGATAAAATAACGTGACATTTTATATGACATTATTTTCTACTTATTTTATTAAATTCCAAGAACCCTAATAATCTTCTCAGACACAAATATTGAATCATTGGTCTTAAAGTTTGAACTAGAAAAATCGTTATTTTGACAAAAAATGTCCAAGGTCGACCGGTTCAGATGTTTTAGTATAACTTTTCAAATAAGGCCGGCTGTTCAACGCGCGACTTGGAAACAATTTCCGATACTCGTTGTGTGAGAAGAATTTAATATCGCTACGTTTTAAAGCCTGAATACCTATATGTATTTTATTGTTTTCATTTAGTTGTTCAGTTATACAAAAGTTTGTTCAGAACTTTGTAACGCGTGTAACAATTATCTGATATCTATGTGTGATGTGAGGTTGGTATCAGAGTTAACATTTAATGTTCGCTTTTTATATGGCGGCTATTTTCCAAAGACAATGTCAATAAACTTCACACTTACACACTTTTGAAATGTCAAAACATTGGGTTGTTAATCCCGCACTGAATGTAGGTGCTCCTACCAAAGTTAGAGACGTCTGACCAAAAAAGTTAGTGCTATTAGTTTTCTATTTCCGTTTTTTATTAAATGTGGGAGCAAGTTGAAGGTATTATATAGTGTTTTTAACCCGCGAAATAAGGACACCGCGGGGTTTGAGCCTGCAAAAATCTGAGAGTCCTCTTTATATTTTCTTTCCTGGATAAATGATTGTGTCGAGAATAGAAACGAAAACGAACTAAATTATTCAACACACTCTTTTCATGAATTATGCTATGTTTATAAATCCCAGTTTTACGCTAAGTGTGGGAGAGCCATGCTTCGGCACGAGGGGGTCAACTCGACCGGAGTGATACCACGGCCCCACAGAAAACCGGCGTAAAACAACAACAGCCCATCTCCCTCTCCTCCCTTTCCAAACCTTAAATATTCGAAACCCTGAACCCAAAAGGCCGGCAACAAACTCGTGACAACTTTGGTGTTGCGGATGTCTGGATCTGGATGGGCTGCGCCGATTGCTTAACATCAGGTAATGAAAAACAATGGAATGGACAAACCTTCTCTTCGAAGTCGGTTAAAAATATCATTACTAAATATAAACTCAAGGTTGAGAGGTCTTTAACACTTTACATAACATATACATACTTAGGTACAAACCGGTTTGATATATCTACATAATATATTGTTCATTCATAAAAAAAATATTAACGTTTTAAATCTTCAATCTTCGGCACGAATAGGCCGAGTCTATTTGAAAACGGCCCAAATTATGCCAGCGTGAAACCACGCTTGCTGTGTTGATTTTTTTTGGTTTATGGCGTAGATCGGATGCAAACGAGCAGATGGATTACCTGATGTTAAGCAAGTGCGTTGACGCCTTTAAGAGATAAGGCTTTCGGTCATTTATGGATTGTTAAGAGATGGGGGAGGGGGAAAGTTTGGGCCACCGGTAACCTCAATGACACGGCGAAACACAACGGTGTGGTTGCTTCGAGCCAGTTTTCTGTGAGGCCCTGGTATCACTCCGGTCGAGCCGACCCATTCGTCCTGAAGCTTGAGTCTCCCACACTTAAATTGATTATTGTATTTCGTCTTTTTCACGTTAGATGGAGGCAAGGGCGGATTGGGAATCCAGTAACCTTAATTACGTGGCGAAACACAACGCTAGCGTTCTTATGCAATCTATTCTATCTATTATGCAAGTTCCCTGTGAAGCTGTGGTATCACTCTGATCAAGCCGGCCTGTTCGTGCCGAAGCATGGGTCTTCCACGTAAAAACACTTTGACACTTGGACACTTTTTACTAGCCTTCATTGCAATGGAATGTTTTATCTCAACAAAATAAATCTTCCATTCGCCGGACGACACGCGTTATTGCCCTATCAAATTATCTGCATTAACAAATTGCTTGCCAATTTGTATCCCATTCAATTACACACGATTATGGTCCATTTCGTAATTAATAAATAAGGTTCGTTATCGTTCGACATAAAATTATTTTACAATTTTGAAACGAAATGGTCCTGAATTCTATAGTGTACTAATGAAAATTAACAATTTACAGTAATATTAAGTGAATTATTATTTAATTTAATGTTGTGTATTATTTAATTATGTTAGTGGTTTTAGAATGTACTCCATAAATTATTGCATTTTGAAATCATTGTTATTTTAATAATAATATGTAGTTGAGTCATGAGTCATCATCATCATAAGTGTCTGCTGTTGAACAAAGGCTCTCACACAGAGAAGAATTTGGTTCACGCTTGCTTAAGTCAGTTTAGAAATCTAAGCAATGTGTGCTTAGCAAAGCCACTGGTTCAGTTAAAGACGTCATGTCGTTGAGTGGTATCGGTAAATTATCAATATAAGAAGTACTTACATGTAAACATGAAGTTCGCTTACTTCAGAACGTAACATATCAAAAAATAATTTTAATTAAATTTACATATTATTATATCGAACTGTTCACTATACTGACTATACTTTATTTAAATAAAATAATAATATTCTCTAGTAACAAAAATCAACGCTAATAAACGCAAATTCCAATCGCAATAAAAAGTCTGCCAGTGAACAGGTAGTATTAGCATGACCATGATTTATCTACAAGTTTTTTTTGAATGTTTTCTAGACTATTGTTGACATAAGCACCGGATTTAAAAATGAGAACATATCCTATATTTAATGTTCTAACCAAAAGCTTTCAGTAGGTATTGGAAATGTTTTGTTTGTTTTTATTTCATTGTTCTTACATACATACTTTATTTTTGTTTGCGATCAAATTGAATATGATCTAAAATGATCCAATATGATCCAATCTATATTGTCTAGACCTTTTTCGGTGATTATTAAAAAGTTGTACCTTTTAATTTGAGTCCTATTCAAAAATCTGTTTAAGTAATAATATAATATATATACCTACCTAATTTCAATGTATATAAAAGGGTACGATGGGGCTGACATGTCTTTGATAAAAATATGTCAAATATAATAATAATAAAATATCATCTTCCTGTAAGGGACGGAGGTAGACGGTCTACACCATCTTGCAGTAGAGGAACCAGTCAGGAGGAACTCCTTTCAGGAAGATAGAACCTGGTGGCTGTTAGTCAGTAACAGACTGGCATATTCTTCTCGCCTCACCGAGGTGAGAGTGAGTCATTTGATGATATTCTTCTTTCAAAATAAATTCATTATCATATATTTCTATCAGTGTTAGTGGTGTCTTAATAGCCTTAAAAAGTACAATACAATAAAGAATGAATTTGGTAAGTACTAGCCAGGTTTCACTCGCCCATCCTTTTGAAGCCTGACCCACCACAATATTTATAATTCCGTAGATAATTCTTGTTAAAAGTCGAAAACAGTGTGGCGAGAGCTAAATAAATATAGATGAAACTAATTATTTATTCGCAACTGCATTTACCTATTCAAATTTTTAGAATGCCCAGACCTTTTTTAGAATAAAGGAGGTTTTTTCACTTAGCCCCCTAGTTAGCGAGTTCAGAAACTTCGACGTGACTGTCACTTTGTTCTTTTTAAGGAATCGCTGAGTGAATATGCAATGACAGTGCTGCAGGTGTCCATTGAAAACATAACAACACAAAAAGCACACAAACGTTGATTCGGACTTGGGTCAGAAGGCAAAATATATTCAATCCTATCCTTAAATCCCTAATCACCCAAAAGAGGCCGTCAACGCACTTGTAGTAACTCCTTTGGTACTACGAGTGTCTATAGACGGCGTTGATTGCTTACCATCAGGTAATCCGACAGCTCGTTTGCCGACCTAAGACATTAAAAAGTGTTTATTATAAAGATACACATTTGAGAAATATAATTATCGTGTAAGAATATTTGTTTTAAACTAATTTAAACATTTTAAATTATGTAATTAATGGTTCTATTATCAAGCAATACATTTATACGATCATAGAATATACTTCTCTAAATGCAAAAGTAACTATGTCTGTCTATCTGTCTTTTCTTCACGCCTAAACTACTGAACCTACCTGTGTGAAATTTGGTATAGACATAGTTCGAGTTCCACTCGAGAAAGGACAAAGGATAGTTTTTAATCCAAAAACGTGCAGGATGTCACTATTTCATGCGAACGAAGTCACGGGCAAAAGCTAGTTGAATATGTATTTCAAATAAATACCAATATCAATTACGAAAACCCTAAAAAATCTTTACTCATCTCGGGAAATGAACCTGAGAAGTTGTCCTCGACACTTTTTGACCTCTAAATCGGACGTAAAATGACTAGAAAAACCAGTTTAGAATACTTTACTATAATATCATTCAATATAATAATGTCTTCAAAATAGATTTTAATATATTACTCGTATACATAAAAGAGAAATGATGAAATATCTAAATTAAATTTACTACGACGGATCTGGTTTTAGAAGTAAATAGTAGCGAAGAATTATTCTTTCTTATTTTTTGTATTTTTATACTACAATCTCAACAATGAATCCGGAATTGTGTCTGGAATATAATGTATTTATAGCTGGCATGTGGACCGCTTCTGCTTTCGCGTGCGTATCCAATTGTACTCAATACTTTATTGCACTCCTTAAGTTTCATACCATTGCATCCCGGAGGTGAAGGTTTTCATTTGAGTTCGAGAGCATTCCAAAGTTTGGCTGTGCGAAGAACGATGGCGAAAAGATGTAGCGAGGATCAAACCGAAAAATTCCCCTGAACACTTCCCGTGATATAGGCTCTATGAATGCTCACCTTTTCCATGCGAAAGGCCTTTGCTCGGTAGTGAGCGTTTGTAGGCCGCTACTTCTCTCGGCAATAATAAAAACAACAATAAAATATGTAATTTGCCTGTTGTTGTTGTTGTCTATCCCAGAGCTGCACGTCGATTCTATAAAATTTGTTTGTTTTTGAATCGTGTTCGAGTGCGAAGGGGGCGTCGAAATTACGGGTAAATTAAATTTTAGAATGCCACTTTTAACGTCATTTCATACTTTATCTTTCAAAATGATGCTGTCAATTTAGTTCAACTCGCAAGTGTAGCGCTAGTGTACTACTACTCACGGCGGATTCAGATTCGAAGTTTAGAATGAAGTCTTACAGAATCACACCCCTGTATGTTAGTGAACGTAACTATGACAGAGGTATGAATTAGCACGTACCTATATTTTCTATGGAGTTATCAATAACACTTCGGTCAGTGATTAGGGTTTACAGGACCGGCAGGAATGGGGCCAAATGGTCACGGTAGTACTTGCCATACGTATCAATTTGTTCGATTGGTCTCGGGCACTTAAACTAGGTAAACAGTAATGCTCCATTTTCACAATTACATTGTTCATGATAATCCGTAACGAAATATAACCTCTTCTGAATGAAAGAGGAGTCTATTCGACTTACTATTTTAGGGGGATAAAAGAACAGAAAGCCTACCATGACGTGGAGCTATAAAAGGTGTATAGCTCCATCCCTCATTCTCGCCCGGAAGATTCACGCTTTAACACATCATGGTAGGCCTACACAGGTTGTAAAGTTTTCCATCCTCCATTGAAAAGGGAGGATGGACATGGACGGGTGTTGTGTATAATGGACTACTGCCCAACGGTTGATTTCGTAATTTTGTAATGTACCTTCTTTGCGTCGAGAACTATTATACCGCGAAGTAGAATCTTGAACGTGATTGGTACTTTGATGCGTGTTGTGCGGTACATGTCGCTACACTATTGCCCAGTTTTTAACGTGAAGTGATTACTGCTGAGCAAAGGACTCTTATCACGGAGAAGGTTTGAGCATTAATCACCCTAGTAAACCTATAAAATATAAATGTTTACGCGCGATGTTTTTCGTCACCCTATGTTAGCGGTGTCTAAATAATCTTAAAAAGTACATACATATAACTAGGAAAAAGACACATGGGTAGGTACTTCGAAACCTCATGCACGAGAAGCGGGCGCCTTAACCTGCAAACTGCCGTGACCACTACTATGAAAAGGTACTCCTTTCTATACAGGAACTCTTATCTCTTTCAATACTCAAATATTATCGAGAATGTGTCACATGGTCAGAAATGTTATTCGATCATCGAGACATTTAGCTGCCAGATGTTTATTACTATTGTAATACCGGTTTCGATTTTAAAAGGAAGCAAAAAAATAAAGAGCACCTTATAAATTGCATAACAATAATAGTGTTCTGTTGTAAATTAGTTTAATTGTAGGAACATAATTATTAAACTCAAGAAAGTTCCTGCTAAAATTTAATACGAGAAGTGTAGCCTACATTTTAAACAATTAGATTTATGAAATTGTGTACCTATATAATCTAGTACCTAGGTACTCCTAGCGATTCAATTCACATTAATCAGACAAGATTCAGGAGCAGATTAGTTTACTGAAACTTTAAGAAACTGAAAGTAATATTGTTTACCACTTTAACGATCTGTTGGCTATGATAACTTAAATCTTTCGACAACTCCAACGACCACTTATCTTAATAATGCGTTACGGGTGTTCATGAGCGCGCGAATTGCTTGCCATCAGGTAATCCGTCTGTTCGTTACCGGCTTAGGTATCACAAAAAAAATGTTACGTAGAAACTGTATCTTGCCTCTGACTAGATACCTGTATCGATTATTATAAAATAGGGTCTAAAATAAATCTCTCTCATACCTACAAATCTAACTTTATGGCTCTTACAAATTGTTCAAAAGATTGGTTCGCTGCGACCTTGAGACTGAACTAACGGCACCGGAATAAACCTAGGTACAATGTTCGAACTACAAATAACGTTGCAAACAGGTACCTACACAAAGAAGGTCAATCTTTAAGGCTATTAAAGTACCATAAAATTACATTGGTGCCATAAAATGAAAGTAATAAAGGTTCTGTAGAAAACGATGTAGCAGTTTTATGTTGCGATTTTACACAACAACAGGTAATACAGCGCCATCTAGTTTACGTTATTGGAACTAGTGTTCGGTATGTGTGGTATTGAATTCGGCATGCGTACTATTTTACCCTCGTATGTAAGAGAAAATAATATAATTATACTTTTCAACGTAAATTGTACGATACCTATAATCTTAAGAAAAGCAAAAATGAACATAGAACATAAAAATAAAAATAGTTTTAATGTAATAAGTCGGCAAACGAGCAGACGGATTACCTGATGGTAAGCAATCAACGCCGCCCATGGACACCCGCAACGGAGGACTTACGAGTGCGTTGACGACCTTTTAGGGATTAGGGATTTGGAGATTTAGGGATTGGGGAAGGGTCCAGGAAGGGGAAGGATTGGGCCTCCGGTAACCTCACTCACACGGCGAAACACAACGCTGTGGTTGTTTCACGCCGGTTTTCTGTGAGGCCGTGGTATCACTCCGGTCGAGCCGACCCATTCGTGCTGAAGCATGGCTCTCCCACAATTAAAAGTTGTTAAGATAAATGAGTAATATGATCATTTATTTTTTATTGTAGTAGTCGAAACAATTAATTTTTACTATTTTAATAAGCCCAATTCTGATTTTCTTTTTTGGTTTAACCTCATGAATTGATTTTTAAGGGAACACAACTGTGAAAGGGTAGTAGGTAGGTTTGGTTTAAGTACAACTTACGTTTATGAACGTCTATTGCACTACCTACACATTATACCTAAGTAGGTACTAAGATTCGAAACACTTAAACGTAGGAATCTAATTCTCAATACATCATCATCATCAGCCGGAAGACGTCCACTGCTAGACAAAGGCCTCCCCCTTAGCTCTCCATGTCGAACGACAAGTTGCCACCTGCATCCATTGGCTCCCCGCGACTCTGACGATGTCGTCGGTCCACCTAGCGCGAGGCCTACCCACACCAAGTTTTCCACGGCCACTCTAGGACTTTTCGGGCCCATCGACCGTCCGTCTTTCTCAATACTACTACTACCTACTTATCTATACTTATCAATACTACTACTTATTTAGCAATTTTACCAAACAACTTATGCACCTAATTAAAATAATTATGAAACAACCACAATAAAAAAAATCGATTATCAACGTAATCACAAAAATAGTAATTGTTGTGATTAAGTTGAAAATTCAATTTATTAATAAGCAAAAAAAAAACATCTGATCGAAAATATCGTGGAAAAAAACATAACCTTCTTTCAATCTTACTAGCTCGTAACAAAGGTAAGCTGTAAAAATCCATCCCCTACTTTCGGTTAGAAGCAGAAATTATTTTCAAACTAATTTTTAATTTAGCTTAACATTTAGACGCCTTGTGAAATAACTTCCGACAGTCTCCGGAAATTTAACTTTAGTCAGCTCGGTGCACGTCTCGTCGCGGTGTATTGCAATATTTGGTGTCCACGTATAAGCGGTACCTTACAGACTGCGATTACACCGAACTGTAATGCTTTTACGCAGAATACAGAAATGAAATACCATTTTAAGTCGTTCAATGGTAACCTAATACGATCCATAGAAACTGATTTGGTAACGCAATCGGTACTTAATTAATTATTAAATGTAAAGAATTTATAAATATGGGAGAATGATGCTTCGGCACGAATGGCCCGCCCTGACCGGAACGATAGTACGTTCTCAGAAAACCGGCGTAAAACCTCACCGTTGTGTTTCGTCGTATAAGTGGGGTTAGAAATTAAATCCTTCTCCTACCCAAACGCACTTGCAACTGCTCTGGTGTTGTAGATGTCTATGGGAGGGGCTGATGGCTTACCATCAGGAAATCTGTCTGCCCGTTTGTTCCCGCGTGACATAAAAAGAGGATTACAAAATAATTTAAATAGTTGCCATGTATGTATTCGAACTTAGTAACTAAAATACCGTATATTTTTTGCCAGTGCGGTCGGGTTGCGGGGAAAGCGCTGTAATACACCGCCACTAAGTTCGGGGCAGGAGGAGCAACAAGGGGGTTTTTAGTAAGTATGTAATATTCAAACACTCGGTAATTAATGAAAGTTGTTATGGAGATTGTATTCTTAAGTTTTTATTACTCTCTTCTCTTGTTATTACCAAGCCAACAGAAAATTTGGTCGATAGATTTGAAAGTAAATATTACGCTACGGTGTAAACAAATCCGTTGCATCGCTGCAACTGGCGGGGTGTGCTTATACCACTGCGAGTAACAGGCGAGCTGCAGTGAAAGCTTGCCCACTGACTCACAAGGTAAATAACTTTTACGTAACAATTTAGTGCAATGCGAAAATGCATTTATTTTGCTATATTTTTACTTAGAAAGTCTTATATTCCTTTGCTAATTTACCACGATAGCGAAGTAATTTGATAGTTGATAAGATTTTTAGTGATGTTTTTGTGTGAATTTTATCAATGTTTGTGCTTAGTTTTAATTCATCTTTTACTGAATTCGTGTGAACGGTGTTAAATTGTGATATTTTGTCAGCGATCGTCATACTTGTATGATGTTGGTAACGTGAAAGTGTTTGTCTTTTGTGTAAAGGGATTGAGGTGTTCATTTGGTGATATAGATATGATTTGGTTTCCAACGTAACATAGTTTCAAGTGGACTATAAGACGTTGGTTAGTTTTCATTACGGGAAAGTAAATACCTCTCTGAAGAATATATACTATGATGTCAATACTGTGTAACTACCTGCCAAAAGTGTAGTAAAGACTGGTTGCCTTCCTGCTTAGGTACCTATTGTGTAGGGAATGAAAATATTTGATTTTTTTTTAATGTCTTTGGACTCAAATATATTGGACAATAGGCATTGGAGTTGTTAACACCGGTCTTGGTTGCGTAGTGAATGTGATATTAATAAAGAAGAAAAACATTTTATTCGTAAACTATAAATAATGTAAAAGACAGAATTTCGGAAGCTCATGTTGTAACTTTTCTCGAGACTGAGTGATGTCACTAAGCCGATAGATTCAATGAAAAAATGGTTTATTTAAAATGGTAGATATTTAGTAAACACGTTACTATCTAACGTATCTACACTAAAATGTGGGTCGATTTTGTCTTGGACAAAGAACAGGGTTGGTATGTAATATACAAATATTTTCAAGTCTACGACAGTGGTACCGAGGTCCCTACAAGAATTTCAATAAGTTGTGTCGTAATTATGCAAGAACAAATTCTATCTTGACCTTTGAACCGTGTTATGTGATACCTAAGTTTCTCGGGAACGTTTTCTCTCTGTGTTTATTAAGGTTTACGTTATTCAATATTCAGTATTCAACATTGTTCTGCTATATTGTCATGATAAAATTATTGCAAGCATGCAATTATTTCGAAATAAATAAGCGTGCGTTGTGGGTTGTATTTAAATTTAAAATAAAGCGAATTTAATTTGGTGCAGAATCATTGTACTTATCTAGTATGGTTATCTTAAAGAAGTCGGGCTCCATAATACAGCCCAATAAAGACCAGTGTACTCGTTCCCTATTACATGCAAATGCACCACGAAGCGCACGTTGTAATCTGCTTACCACAAGATGACTATGTCGTGAAACTTTTGTTTATGTAGAACTTCGCCATCTGTTGATGAGATGCGTTAATATTTGAGGTTAAAATCGTACACCGCCATCTATCGGGTATATATAAAACATTTTGCAACTGCGCAGGTCGTCAGGTAGGCTTTAGGTGGATCAAAGTTCAATGTAAACCTTATAGGTGGCACTGTTTATTACAATGTATGAAATTCGGTCTTTTGTTTTCATTTTCTTTATACAGCCACACGCCATCAAGTGAGTAAAATCACAACTGAAAGAATCAAAGCTTAGCGGAGGCTTTAGAGTGACAAAAGTTCAAAATTAATCTGATAGATGTTACTGTTTACAAAAACGTTCAAAATAAATCTGATAGATGTCACTGTTTACAAAAACGTATAACACTAAAATTGCTACATTGCGTGTGCGAATGTTAGCTTTATTTCATCTTTCAACTACCTCCATCGGGGAATGTGCCATTTTTAAGTTATATGGAATTAAACAATCAATTTAAATAAATAAAACACAGTTTTATTATATCGAAATTATAATGTTAAAAGGCTACATTAAGGAAGCGGTACCAATCTGACTATTCTGAAAAAAAAAATACATTCGTAACAGATTGTTAATAATTATGGTTAGAGATCGTTCTACTTACAGTTATAATGAAGCTAAAATAATGCTAAAATATAGTAATAATATTGATATAAACATACTAAAATCACAAAGAGGTAAGATTTGTAAATTTGTATGTAGGGGGTAATCTTTGGAACCGATGGTCAGATTAGTAAAATTCTTTCACTGATAGATACCTAGCTACAATGTTCCTGAGAGCTATAGGCTATAAAACATGACGCTACGACCACATGGAGTCGAGCAGCGGGTGAAACCGCGCGAGAGTAGCTAGTATAAATTAAAATGAAGAAAAAACACAATAAATAGATATAGTTGTATAATTTTGTACTTTAATACGTTCGGTCAGATCTTAATGTTTCTAACTATTATGTACCTATATTGTTATCCAGAATTCTATGACTAAGCAACAAAGCAATAAAAATTTATATTTGTAATAATGTAGATATACAATATACAGGGCTATTCAAACAATAAAATGTTTTAGCGTTGGAATTGATAACTTTATTATTTGAACATTTAACTTTAACTTTTCATCATCATTTTAATATCTTGAATCAGCTAAGACACACAGCTGAACATAGACCTTCTCCATTGGCTAGCTATCCTATGTCATAAATAATTGTATGCAACTTGTTTTTTTTTTTGTGAGGGGAAAATCATCAAATGACTTCTCCCGCCCAGGGCCGGGCAGGAGGGAGTGTCAGACTCTTACTGACTAAAAACCCCCCTGTTCCTTCTCCTGCTCTGTGCCGAGGTCGCGGTACCTCATTGCGCTTACCCCGCAACCCCGGCTGAACATCAGCCTTTTAGGGCCCCGTCTGTGGTGGTCGAATGGCTCTTTGAGGCGCGCGCGGAACGCTACGCGCCGTACGCTCGGGCCTGGTTCTGGTCGGGCGGCGAGCTGCCCTTACTCGCCGACCGCAGGCCCGTGCTTACGGTGGCCGGAGATCGTCCCTCGATCCCCGACGCCCGTAGTGTCGCCAGTTGCGGCTGCTGGGGCGTGAGGAGGAGGATTGCTCCCTCACGCGGGCCGCCTCTCTCTTTGCGAGCATGACTGCTTCACAAAAGGAGGAGACGGCGTCCCAGTTCCTCTCACTCCGCACCATGGCCTCGACTAAGGCCGGGCGCGAGAGGTCGCCGCCGCCGATCACTTCCCAGAGGATACGGCGGTGCTCAGCCCAGGCAGGGCATACCGCTACCGTATGCTCCACCGTATCCTCTAGGTGGTCCTCACAATGACGACGCTCGGGCGTTTCCTCCCGCTGAATCCGAAACAGATGCATCTTGTTATTACTTGTATATTTATATCAGACTTGCTGCAATCACAAATACCAAGCAAGGGATAAGTTGAAGTATTATATACATATATTAATAAATCTAATATTTTTATATTTAGAAAATTCTTAGTCATAGCACGGAATCAATTAGCTCATCTCCTAATAAAGAAACTTTACATATACGTGTGTAGATGATGTTTAGCTAAGGTTGCAGGTAAGGGCAATAAGCTAGCGGGACCTCAGCCTGGAGTCTTGGAAAAAACGGTGTACTTTTTAGTCAGTAAGAGTCTGACACTCCCTCTCGTCCCACATAGGATGGGAGAACCCATGGAACGATTTTCTCCTCTAAAAAGGACCTAAATACTCAGCTCAGATATATATTATAAAGGAAATATTTAATCCCAATACGGCTATCTGCTCCCTTTCTTCCAAACATTGCAATATTACTTTCTTGTCACGCAAGTGCACGTAACGTGGACGTAAGAAGTTATGCACTACTTGGTAGACACGCATCGCTGGGAGCATTACGTACGCTACTGCTGTTAGCGAAATTATAGACTTCATTTTGCACCTGGTTGGGATTCCCTTAGAAAAGGATAGAATCACTTTACCTGAAATCATTCTACCTCAATAATGTATGCTAAGCGAATTTTTAAGTCAATTTGTCAGTATAGCGAAGGAACTCTTGTTATAGCGAAGTTATAATAATTCATTTTCAAGCTAAAATGTACTTTTTAACATTTCTTTCTTTTCTTGTTTTCCAGATGTGGCTGGCAACGTTAACAATTTTTATAGCAGTCTGCTTGTACATCTACTATGATACGCGTAAACCTAAGAAATTCCCACCCGGTCCGAAATGGGTTCCTATACTGGGTTGTGCCAGTGAAGTTTACAAACTCCGAGAAAAAACTGGTTATCTATACAAAGCTGTGAAAGAGCTCTCTGTGTCCTATTCCAAAGATGGCTCCCTCCTCGGTCTAAGAATTGGAAAAGACAGAATTGTGATGGTGAACAGTCTTGAAGCTAACAAAGAAATGCTCTTCAATGAAGACATTGATGGAAGACCAAAAGGCATATTCTATCAAACAAGAACTTGGGGAGAGAGACGTGGAGTGCTGCTCACTGATGGAGAGCTGTGGAAGGAACAAAGAAGATTTCTGTTGCGACATTTGAAAGAGTTTGGATTTGGGAGACGAGGAATGGAAGATATCGCCAGGTCAGAAGCGTGTCACATGGTAAACGACGTCATGACATTGGTTGGTGAAAATGATGGCAAGACAGCTATTATTCAAATGCATAATTTCTTCAACGTGTACATCTTGAACACGCTGTGGACGATGATGGCGGGCATCAGGTACAAACCCACCGACCCTCAGATGAAAGTGCTCCAAAGTCTTTTATTTGATTTATTCGCCGCAGTTGATATGGTTGGTACACTCTTCAGTCACTTTCCCATCTTGAGCATTGTGACTCCTACGTTGTCAGGGTATAAAGACTTCATACGAACGCACAAAAGAATATGGAAATTTCTTCGGGAGGAGTTAGCTAGACATAAGGATAGATTCGATTCTTCACAAGAAGATAGGGATTTTATGGACGTTTACATAAGAGTGTTGAAGGAGAAAGGAGAAGTGGACACGTATTCAGAGGGTCAACTGGTAGCGATGTGTATGGACATGTTCATGGCTGGCACGGAGACTACCAGTAAAAGTATGAGCTTCTGCTTCAGTTACTTAGTAAGGGAACAAGAAGTGCAGAAGAAAGCTCAGGAGGAGATCGACAGAATTGTCGGTAGGGACAGGACGCCCAGTTTGGATGACCGTCCCAAGTGAGTATTGTCGTTATATACCAGTAATAAATAAAACTGCCTAAGAATCAGATGCAGTATTCTATAAAAAATCACCAGTTATGTTATTATTTGTCTCAAATATTTCTATAGAATCTACCATTGCTAACTCCAGTCGTACTGCGAATATGGTTGACGAAATAAGCACAGCTAAATGCTACCACCGTAATACTACTGCTGAAAATATTATAGTGGTAAGTCTAATATCATGTGCAATATTAATTATAGATTGTATCGTATTCTTACCGTCTTTCCAGCATGCCGTACAACGAGGCTGTAGTGCACGAGTGTGTACGACATTTTATGGGACGGACATTTGGAGTACCTCACCGTGCTCTCAGAGATACAAACCTGGCTGGCTACTTTATACCTGAGGTAAGCAAACATAACCTAACGCTAAAACTTTCAATGGTGTTTAGGTCAACAAATTAAACATTGTTTTTGGTATGTCCAAAAATCGGGCTAAATCGGGTTTTGAATCTGGTTGTTAATACCTTACACCTTGTGGAAACTAACAAAGGTATTGAAATAAATTCATTTGAATTTAAATTAGTATTTTACTACCATAGTTACTGTTTTAGACTGTCTGTGCGTTGGTAACGATAGTTTATTATAAAACTGTAGAGACTGAACTGGCGATTGATTGATTGGACGCCAGTATGTTTTACACGCATCTAATTAATTTCTAACTACTTAATATAACCTCCTTTTTGTGTTACTATGAGAAATAAATAATCTTACCAGAACCTACCTTACTGTTCCAGGACACGATGGTGCTGAGCAACTTCACAAACATCCTGATGGACGAGGAGATGTATCCAGAGCCTTATGCCTTCAAGCCAGAACGATTTCTCTCTGAAGGGAAGATCTGCCTGCCAGACCATTACTTTCCCTTTGGTCTGGCTAAGCACAGGTGTATGGGAGACGTTTTAGCAAAATGTAATATATTCGTCTTTACCACTACGATGTTGCAGAAGTTCTCTTTCCTACCAGTTCCTGGAGAACCTCTGCCTTCACTAGACCATGTTGATGGAGCAACTCCGTCTGCAGCCCCATTTAAAGCTTTGGTTGTGCCACGGACTTAGTTGTCGTCTTTATAAGCAAAACAAGGACTAGCTCTTAAATACTATATAAATGCTAGTCGAGCATTGACATTTCTATTAACTCGTTCGACTAGTGCTTAATGTCCAGGTATTTAAGGAGCAGATTCGTGTTGGTAAAACACAGTATTTTTACAAGATTTGTACTAGAAGTAACGTTGTTTTAGCGAATGTTTGTATTGAATTTTATGTATTATGTGTATGTGATTGATTCTTAACTCCTGTCTTATGACATATATAAATGTAAGACTAAAATGATAATGTAATTTATACTTGCTTTAATACCTGCAATGGATACGTCAAGCGGATTGCTACATTTAAAGTATTGTGTACTTTATGTCTTTAGAGTTTTGGATGATATTATATTGTTCGATCCAATGTTTTCTATGACATTATTTCTATAAACTTACTGAAAACTTACTAGAGTAGGAACAATTACAAAGTCGAATGTGTAGTTTTATATACGTGTGTTGTTTTATGAAATATTTTGTCATTTATATTGATATTGTGATAAACATTTGACGGTATTACGTAATGAGGATTTGAGTCTATCTGGCAGACCTATTTATATAAAATTGGAACGTAGAATTTTTTCCATGTTCAAGAGATGTTTATCTCATTTAAACTCTATTATTGTACGCAGAAGCTATATTTTTGGATGAATTATCATAGTATAGTAGTGTGTGTATTTAAAACTTCTTATCTACTGTGCATTACTGACTTATCGATCTTTCGAACGTTATTTTCTGAAATCACAGAGTAGGTAATATTAAGGGGATTACTAATGGGACCCATTTTTGTATGTGCTAATTGTTTTTGTTATCCTGCTATGAGCTTGTTCTAATATGCATAAGTATAACGTCCATATTTTAAAATGGAGAGAAGAAAAGATTAAGAGAGGTTATGACTGATAAGTAATCATAATTAGGAAACAGGAATATCGTGGAGAATTTAAAAAATGTTCATAAAAGTATTGGCTAATTACTTCCTGGTTTATTTGTGGCATATGTATCTATTAAACCTACCAGGGCTACCAGTAGGTGACAATTCCTGTACCTTTCCCTTTGTCTTTACTACGGCTGCATTAGCAGTCTTTGATTAGCTGGCCCTATATCCCTATGTATGCTTTGAACCTTTGAAATTACGCAACAGATTTTGATGCGATTTTTAATAGATGAGTGAGGAGTGAGGTATGTAAAATAAAAAGTATTGCACAGGCGCGAAACTGGGACGAGGCCTACTTAAACGTCCCTAGGTATATATTTCTGGTTTAAAAGATGTACTTATTCACTGATCAGTAAAAGTAGTGTTTTGTAGGCTAATTAGTGAGATACCATTTGATAGAAGTCGGAATTAAAATAATATATGAATATATTTTTGTGACTAAGACGATTGTGAAACAATCAACTTACTTTGTAAATTATCAACTAAAATATTTATGTATAAAATATATGGTGATACATTTTGTGTATTGTATAACTGTAAATTATGGTAAAAAATGTGTAATTAATATTGAATATTATAATAAAATAAATAAAAATATAGATAACTATATTTTTTTATTATTCTATACGTAACTACTAGATGTGTGTCAATACAGTATTAAGAATTTTAATATTTATTATTTAATTTTCAATACATTTATTTATTTGTTTGTAGAAAAAGTAATCCTACTATCTACTTAATATAAATGTACTAGAGTTGGTATAGTTTTTAAATTATATACACAATCTTGTATTAAGCCATTTTTGTAATAAGATCCCTCTTTTTTGTCGTATTTAAAAAAAAAACAAAATCAAATTTTAGCTGGAAATAATTTATTTTTTAACTAAACGAATCAAAATTAAGTATGTGATATCAAAATAAATTTGTGCTCAATTATGATTATTGAATCTTTTTATTAAAAATCTTTAAAGTATTATATTAATTTGGTATTTACTTCGTATGTATAGAAATGTATACTTTCAAAATAAAACTTGTTGGCAACGATTGAGTTCACCCTAAAGTATTATCAATGGACTTTATTATTTATAAGAATAGTGTTCATTTTGGATAGGAGAATGTCAATTTTTATTAATGCTATAAGTGGATATAATTATGATTTATTAAATAAAACATCTGTGTCATTACTTGTTTATTTATTTTGAAGAAAAACATCCTATTATTTTGTCCTCCCATGAGATGGGCAAGTTTCAGTCTCGTAATGACTAAAAATCATCCCCTTCGTTGTCTTTTAAGCTCTATAATTAAAATATAATAAGCTTTTTTTAAAGAAGGGCAATGCAATCAGTTCCTGTTGATGCTGATGTCTATGTGGGTGGCGCTGATTGCTTACCATCAGGCATTTGAATTTTCTGTCCACCGATCACAAAATACTGAACTTACATAACTGTAATCCTGAATGGCACCAATTATTCTATTTTAATGAAACTGCGTTCTTTCATAGGCACCAATGTTATTGTGAAGTCGTTTATTGCAGTAATGCAGGTCTACTTCATATGGCTTTTCAATGTATGGCAAGAGAGAGTGCTAGACTCTTACTGATTAACTCCCTCCCTCCCCCTGGATCCTTCTCCTGCTCCAGGCCGAAACCACGGTATCTTAATGCGCTTGATACACGACCCCAGCTAAGCATTGGCCATATTGAGCCCTATTTGTGGTGGTCTATTACTGGCTTACTTCATTTTGTTAAGGTAAGTATTGCGACTACAGATGTGAATTGATCATATATTATTGGCAGGAGTCTCTATGCTCATATACAGACGGGGCCCCATAGGGCTGATGTTCAGCCGGGTTTGCGGGGTAAGCGCAATGAGGCACCGCGACCTCGGCCTACAGCAGGAGAAGGAACAGGGGGTTTTTAGTCAGTAAGAGTCTGACACTCTTTCTCGCCCGGCCCTGGGTGGGAGAAGCCATTTGATGATTTTCCCCTCACAAAAAAGAAGGAGTCTCTATGCTAAATACCTGTGTAAAAAGAGAGTGATAGCGACCACTCTGTCAAAAATACTCTTATCAATATTTTCTTCTTACCTTAATTCTCCGCAGCTCCAACAACACCTAGGATTTGGAAGAAAACCATAAATAATTACTCCATCGATTGTTTAATAATTTTATTACAACATTTTTAAACGACTCTAAAACTAGGAAGTTCTTCTTGCGCTGTATGGGTTTTATTCAACAAGATGCACTACAGGTACTCCGCTAGCCGTGCAATAATTCTCTCGAAACCTTTTTAAATGCCGGCAACGCGCCTGTGGCTCTTTTGCTGTTGCAGATGTCCATGGGAGGCACTGATCACTTACCATCAGATAATCCATACGCTCGTTTGCCTCTATTAAAAAATACAATTTAATTTTGCATATGGACACAAAGCGGGAAACGAACCCTTGCCATATTGTTTCACCCAGCCAACCATATATTGTAGTCATTTGTTTTTTTTTCTTAATTTTTCATCATTACCCATGGCCAAACGGTTCCTGTTAATGAGGCTGATCTTGTTGCTGGATTTTTTAACTGCTTAAAGTCTGGTCATGTATACTTACAAGGCTTTTTCTCGATTGAAATTGACTTTATAAACTAACTGTGTGCATTAATATGATGGAAATACTCTTCGTACTCATTATACATATGTTTACGCCTTCATGTTATCGGGACCAATATGAGAAAGATGGTGTAGAACCAGCAACTGGGGTCCCACTACTTTTTTGGATGCTCTTCTTTACTATATTATTATACTTTCTTTGTTATTTTTTGCCTGAATATACTTTTAATATAAAAACTTTGGTGTTTGCAGTAAGGATTTTGACTGGGTTAATTTCCATTTTATCACAATTTTCAGGGTCGCAAAAACAAGTAATAAAACTAAATATTTTTAATGTAATGAAATTTAATAGACAAAAAATCTTACGTCTAAGTTAACAAAATTTATGCTTAACACTAATCGTTTACATGTTCGTTATATCGCTTACATTAACGTTTACATCGTCCAATAATTTAATTTCAACATTCACACTTCGTAATGGAACATCAAAACGTCCCCAATCCGCACTTGTTTTCCAAAAAATTCTTAACATTACATTCCTAATTATACAAACATACAAATTTAATCTGATAATAGATGTAAATGTTTTGCAACTAGTTACAAAGCATTTACATCAAAAATCTGGAAGACCAATAGATTTTCAATTTTGTCACTCATAGCCAACGCCACATTCTACCAATGACAATCCACGCATTAGTGATAAAAATAAATTTGTTTACACTTTTATGAAGATTAAAATTACAGACTAAGATCTTATTGAGAAGGCTAGCGTTGCATCAGCCGTATCGTCTGTAGCTTATAAAGTATTTAATAAATGCGATTACACTGGTACTTATATTAATGACTGACATGCTAGGTCTATTGTAGGATGAGCCTAGGGAAAAGTGGCATACACCACTCACCCCTTCACAAATATTTCCTCGAACATCAGAATTCAAGTGAGTTTTTAACATGGTATTGCAGATAATGCCCTTGAACCTTCTGTCCGTTACAATTTTCCCGTGTGCGTTTAATTTGGAAATTAACAAACATATGACAGTCAAATGTCGAAAGATTTGATGGAAAAATTTAAAGCAAACAAATTAAAAAGAGAAGAACAGCCTTCATTTGGACAACAAAAGATGGACGCTATTGCAAACTTGTGTACTGTAAACAAACTTTTATGTACTTGTACCTATTGTTGTGTTGTTTTAAATTATTGAGAAAGACTATATTTACAATATAAACATGTTGTTACCGAGTCTATTGATTTGATAACATCGACAACTTCAACCATTTTTCATCTTTACTATTATTTCGTGTCCAAAATTTGTGGTATCGCTTCCATCTCGTCTTCGAATCCGTCTTCCCCGTTTTTGCTATTTCGATTTTTTATGTTTTATATTGTTTGAACTATCTATTGCTATTTCTGTTGTAAATAGTGGATTTTAGATATTGATAAGTA